CAGCAGGAATCGGTCAAACAGCTGAAGCTCAGATGTATAGCGATGCACGCTCCCCATTTTTGCTAACCTGTCTTGCTTCCGCTCAGCCAACCCTGCAGCATTAGGGTCATGATGCAGCTCGATCACCAGCCGGAACAGCTCCCAGGTCTCTGCCTCTTGATCGAAGTGCCTTGCCTCCTGCAGCAGCATCGGGTCCTCTGTCGCCTGACCGCCGACTTCTGCAGCAGCCTCCTCAGCGAGCTCTTTGAACCTCACGACTAGCTCATGCGCCGCTTCGTGTCTCTCAGCCCTGTACTCGACATCGTCTCCGCTCCCTATGCCAGCCAGATCGTCATAGAACTTATCTATGGTTTCGGCAAAGACTTCGACCTCCTTGCCCACCCTCTCAGCTACTAAGCGCAACTCGACGCTCTCGGAAACATCTTCTGGCGGCGGAGTCGAAAGTTGCAGCGCCATCGCGTTTGCTTCGTCGTCGTCTTCGTCTCCGACTGAAGAGGCAGAGCGCTGACGATGAAGCAGCTCCCAGCTGTCACTCTGCTCTCTGCGAGGAACGCGAAGTTTGCGGGTGGCCCCAGGTCTGAATGCGGCAGGAGCAGCAGACTTGCGGATAGGTGCCATATTTGCGGCGCTGCAGTGAAGAAGTAAGGCAGACACGTGAAAGATTGAGTAATGTTGTCCACAATAATGGTGCCAACAGAGCTTTACGAAAGTGTACTAGCGCGTAAAACGCCTGTTCACGTGACGTGCTCCCGAAAGCTCATCTTGATCACCAAGGTACTTTGAGATTATCCTCCTCCATTCATGACTTGCGGTGGTACTGACTTGATCTAGTGGCCTAATTCCTCACACCGTCGCAAAGGGTTACGCAAATTGGCTCTATGGAGAAGGCGGTCTCGGGCAGCAGGAAAGCACTAAGCTCCAAACCTGCCGCCAGACCCCTCGGCAGACATCTCACTGGATCCTTTGGTGTGAAGGTAGAGATTGAGTGATCAACACTTTTCCTTTTTCTACAGAGCTCTAGGTGACAGCGCGTACGCTTTCCTTCCCATGTCAACATCGCCCTCACAACGCCGCAACGCCATGGCTATGTAGACCTGTAACTTTTCCAGCCTTCGCAGGTGCCAACTTGCGAGTCGCGTCTAGTAGACCTTCTTCTTCTCGTCGAAGCTGACTTGCCCCGGCCCCATATTAACGAGCAGGAGTAGTCCACCGACGATCGACAAGATCTGGAAGAAGTCGTACTTGGCGAAGTCCTTGTGCGGGTGGTGTTCGTGAAGCTAGCAGCACCTGTCAGCAACCCACTTCGCTAAATGGAGCAGGAACACCTACCGTCCAGAAGTTGTTCACAAACACATTGAACACACTCAAAATCATCACCAAGATGATCGCGCTCCACTTCGCCTTGAATCCCACAGCAACCATAACACACGCCACAGCCCCAATCAAAATCACCACTACGCGCCCAAAATTCCACTCCCCGGCAAACACAAATCCCACGAACAAGAAAATCAGCAGCACCCTCCCCGCAAGCTGGAAGTACATCTTCCTGTCCTTCTCGTCTAGCGTCGGGAGTCCAGCCGGGGCGAACTTCTTGCGCACCCAGGAGTCCGACAGCACCATGAGCAGACCTCCCATGACGGAGAGGTTTCGGAGGAAGAAGTTCAAGTCGAAGATCAGGCCGTAGCCGAGGGCTTGGGTGACGACGACGGTTATGAGGCCTATGACGGCGTATTCGGATTGTTTGCGTGCGATGATGAGGGTAGAGCAGGTGATCATGGCGAGGACGTTAAGGAGGAGGAAGAGGTGGGTTATGCCGTAGGGTACTGTGAGGTGCGACTGTCAGCAACATTCTCCAACGATTTCTTGCCCTCCATCGTTCACATCCACCGTCTGAGCTCTTGGACACAGGAGTGTCATAATCCGGTTTACCCTCCCGCTGTTCGGTAATACGTACTTTTCCTGTAATCCCTCAAATACACCAACTGATCGTTCCACTGCGTGAGTATCCTCAACGCATCCTCCAAGAACGTCACAACAATCAAGAACCGCCCAATAGCCGGTAAATACGGTTTCACGGGATCGCTGATTGTGTCTAGCCAGTCCTCAATCTTGCTCGTCTGCGCGCGGATAGCATCCAGAGGCGAGGGATCATTCGTCGCTTCTGACCGCGAGTTTTGGAATGAGTTGTTCGAAGGGCCATTGAGGTTGTAAGACGCGGTGCCGCGGATTTGCGCCATGATGGCGGTGGGAGGGGTGAGGTGGAAGGCGAGGGTGTAGAGCACCGGGCTCACAGACTTGCTTGAGGAAGAGCAAGACAGGAACGGTAAGAACAGGTTGAAGGGCAACGTACGAAGCAGCTGCAGTACTTGCGTTATACCGCTACTTTCCAGCCAGTCAATGTGGGGGTGAAGTTGGATTGGAGGGTCCAGCCAGCTGTTCTTTGTGCACGGAGTTTCACATAAAGTTCCGCAATTGACTATGGATGCTTGCAGTGTATGTTAGCCGTTATATAGGGCAAGCTGGGATTGTCCAATAGGACAAAGAGGATACACGTGCTTAGCTTTCGACCATCGGGTTTCTGACAGTGAAATGGTCATCTTGTGCGACAGCTGGCGGCTGGGCGTTTTCTATCCCTCGCAGCTGTGAAGAGGCCCACGAAATGCGATCGAAAGCTTCGAATACCGTTTTGTACTGCGGACGCTGGACCAAGTACATAGACTATCTAGTGGTCCCGTGGAAAGGCTACAGCCTCTTTACCATGACCGTCTGGTCAGGTAGATAACAATTTGCAAACGCCAGCTCGCCCAAAACTTCGCTTTCCAGACCACCACGCCGCCGACAAGGAGTCAAAAACCGGCCTCTGCCCACGCCTCAGACCCGCCGTATGTCAACACCATCCATCGCTCTCGAGAAGCTTAAGCAGTCCATGCCTCAGGGTTGGTAGCATCTAGCTCCCCACCCCCCAGAACCTCGAAGCCCTTCCCCTTCGCAGCCGGCGCACTGCTGATAGACTTCTTGGGTTTCGCGTTCTCCTTTACCACAGGCGCAGTAGCAGTCTCGCTTGCCTTACCCTTCCCCTTCTTGACCTCCCCAACAGTAGTCCACCCGCTCACATCCTCACTCTCTTTCACAGCCCTCGCGACTTGCTGCTCCTCGCTTTCTGCTCCATTGCCCTCTGTGGTGCTGCTGGGCGCAGTGCTAGGCTGCTTGGCACCGTCTTCGCTGCTCGTATCCTCTGCGTCAAACGTGTCGAGCATAGGTCCGCCATTGGTCAGACCAGCGGACTGTGTGGCAGTGGCTCCAGCGGCATTCGAGGCAGCCCAGGGGTTGTTGGCCGGTGCAGGAGCAACGGGGATGCCGTTCTTGGCTGGCTCGCCGCGAGCTTCGCGGGCAGAGCGACGCTGACGCTCTGCAAGTGCTTTCCGATCAGCTTCCTCGGCCTCGCGCTCAAGCTTGCGCTGCTCCACTTTCTGCCTATTCTGACGCTGCTTCTTTGTCTCGACTTGCTGCTCCTTGACCTGCTTGGGTGCGCGGGACGTCTCTGGTCCAGTGGAAGCAGTGAGGCGAAGTGCCTTGGGTCCGGACGCCTTGGGCTCCATCATGTCGGACACGTCGCCGGCTTGAACGGCGGGCGAGCCAGCATCGCGGGAGGAGAGGTCGTCGTCAGCTTCTGAGGGTCGCTCGGCGGTTGGTGCGTTCTTCGAGGTGTGGTTCTGCTTCACAGTCCTGACGCGTGAATCCTTGGCCCCTTTCGCAGTCGACAAGTCCGCACCTTGGCGAGCCTTGGTCATCTGCTGTGCAAACTGCGCAATGCTGATGTCTGACTCCTTTTCCGGCTTATCGTCCGCCACGCTCACTGCCTTCGGCAACGCGGGCTGTGCGACCGGCGCAGGCTTCTTGCCAGCTTTCCGCTTCTTAGACGCCTTTACATCACCGCCCGTGACCTCCTTGCCACTGCTGCTTGCCTCGCCTGCAGCGCGTTGTAGACTTGCGCGACGGTCCCCTTTAGCACGCGTTGGCTCTACACTACCTCGCCGCTTTCCTTTCGGTTGCTGCCGCTGGTGTGTGTAGTAGTAATACCCTCCAACCCCACCGACAAGTGCTGCGAAAGCAATGTAGCTCTGGGCGACTTGCGTGCTGTCCATGACTGCGATGTTCGAGTGTGTGCCACACTGTATTTAGGCTGGTCGACGATCCCTTGAGCTCGCCCTCTGCAGCGTCTTGAAGTGCTACTCTGATGTGAGTGCTGGTGCTTGTGTATGTTGCAAGCTGTTGTACTGGACGCGAAGGTCAGTACACCTATTCGCGGAAGCCGGCACGGGAGAACTGACGTACGTCAATAGCGTGCGTCTACTTTGGGAATTGAGGATACAGGGTGCTGCTGCAATAGTGGGATGTATAAGCCCACAAAGATATACAGCAGCGTGTAAAGACGAACGTGGCGCGGTCGTGTCGTGTACAGTCCGCAGAGGAACGCCAATACGCTGGGCAGTTGTGTGAGAGTCAGTTGTGGTTGAGGTCTCGACGCAAGGAGCGTGTACTGTCGGCTCGGGGATGCCGGGGAGTGAACCTGGAGTTGGCTTGTGGTGACAAGAGTTGGTGTTGTGAAGGCACGAGGATTCCAAGCGAGTGTGTGATACCACGACTTCACATGACAAGTACGACAAGTATCCTCCAGCAATTGGGTGTGCAGGTAATGAGAGTTGAAAGTGACCGTAACCAAAGGGATCCGGAGTCGCTGGGCGAGTCAGGGACAGGGCGAATTGCGGAGAGGACAGGGGTCATGCAGGTGTCGGCTGTAATGAAGGTGATTTGGTAGTCACTAGTGGTCATCCTACAATTTGAATCACGAGAATTGAACCTCGGTCACATAGATTAAGAGTCGGAAAGGAGAAGTCGTAGTTTGCAGAATCTATGCAGGCTGTGTGCTCCAATGGTGACGTAGCGTAGAGGAAGAGCAAAGTAGGTATATAATTAACCAGGCTGTGTCATAATCCATCAGCTAAGTGGCGCAGCGGAAGCGCGCCGGGCTCATAACCCGGAGGGCGATGGATCGAAACCATCCTTAGCTACAACATCACATAACCTTTTGCAACTTTTGTACACCTCAACCTTCGTTAACACGAATCTACTTTAAGTGATTCGAGAGATGTCAAGTGTGTATTACGAAAACGCTGGCATGACTTCATGCCTCCCACTCGACGCCTTATTTATGCAGTGCAGACACACAGGGTTCTATACTACCCGCCTCCACCAACGCTTACCGCCGTTCCACCCTCACCGTTCAATCCCGCAACCTCACCTCCTTTCCGCCTGCCTTTCCTCAAAGCCTTGCCAACCACCTTCCTCGTCTCCACAACCTCCTTCGTTTCACCTTCCATCTCCATCGCCTCTTCACCTTCCTCAACTTCCCCATCCACTTCGGGGACTTCGTCAATCATCTCACTGTCTCCTACATCCGTATCGATGTGTTTGGTGGTTCCACTCCGTAGAGCCTGTTCTTTCACCCAAGTAGCTTCCTCGTTCAACTCCGTGACATCTCGAGGTTTACTTCTCAGCCATTTCATGCGCGGGCCTGTCTTGGAGATCTCCGCGACCCTGAAGCCGTAGACTCGGGGTTCGTAGATCATCCCGATACCCAGACCAGGTGCTAGGTTGCGAGGTGTTGTGCCGTTGATTGAGTCGGGCTGTGGTGGTAAGGTCGATGAACCATTGTGAGGATCTGAGGTAGTTGGAGGGGCGGATGTGCCGCCGAGGGACGAGGAGAGAGATGTCCGGCCGGTGGGAGGCTCTTTCGCTGATGTGCTGTTCGGCGCGGGTGATGCGAGAGGGTCGGCTGGCGTAGTCGAGCTGCCAGTCGCGAGTGTAGGTGTCTGCCCTCCGACATCAAGCTCGGGGAATGTCATGAAGAACAGACAGCCAAAGGTCGTTCCAAAGAACGCCCCGTCCACGGTCTGAAATCTCGAGTTCGGCGGCGAGTAAACATCCAAACAACTCGGGCAGAACAGCTTTACCGTCTCTTGCCCCGGGATATCACTACACCCCACCGGCAGCACTTTCGCGCCAAAACAGTACACTCTCGGACAATGCCCGAAATGCCCCAGCTCGTACTTCTCAGCCATCTGCTGGATCCCCGGCCGACTCGTGATAAACCTCTGATGAATCAAGCCGTACAACATCTCCGCCGAACTCTCAATAACACTCAAATCACTCGCCATCCGCAGATGCCTCCGCTCCGCCGCATCAGCCCTCCTACCACCATACCCTCTCCCGCCCTCATCCCCATCCATAGCCAAATCCTCATCATCCTCCTCCTCTTCCTCGTCCTCCTCGTCGTCATCCTCATCATCCTCCGATGCATCGTCTTCCGGCTCAACATCCAGAATCATCTCCAGCGCTTCCTTGTACATCGGCACCTGGCTCGCCAGCCCCGTGAGGTTGAAGTCATCTTCCACGAAGTCTTCCGACACTTCGGCGAAGTACTCGTGTCCTACTAGGCTGCAGAAGGCGGCGATCCAGGTTTCTGGCGCGTTGGAGGAGGAGGACATGGTGGCGCTGTCGTGTTGCGCTGGGTCATAGGGGTGGGTTGAGGTGATTTTTAGGGCTTTTTCGAGGGCGGTGGAGAGGCGGCGCGTTATTGGGGAGGGGTCGCGGTTGAGGGGTAGGGAAGAGGTCGAAGTCGTGGAGGTTTGTGGGAGGAGGTGGTCGGGGAGGTGCGCCAGGATGGGTCGCGAGGTGCGGTGTGCGCTGGATTCGAGGGTGGGTGATGTGTATTGGAATTGCCGCCCTTATGAATAATGTGGTGTGCGCAGCTTCGTTGCGGATGAGTCTTGGTGTCCTTCACGTCTCTTCACGTGAGTCTCTGCGATCGTTGTGCTTTCGAGGCCTCTGCTTTGCTCCAATATGCTGCGCACCCTCAATCCTGCGAAAGCCTGCTCTGCGATATGACCTGCCCCACCAAGTCCCAACACGGTACTTACTCCACCTGCTGTTCTCGAGGATCAAGCTCCTGTACACCTCCTCCTCACTGCGATAAGACGCTCGTCGACGCCGTGAGATAGGGAGTCGTGGCGAAGGTACATGTGTGTATACAATGTGTTTCACGTGAAGTTGTTACTCAGCAGAGGTTTGATAGTGGGCTGGCGTCCGAGCTTCACCGGGATTTGAGGCTGAGCAGGTCTCTGGAACGGCTTTACGTCGCTATGCAAATCAATGTAATGTACATTACATGAGAGAGCCAGAGACCGACATCACAGGTTGACGAGGAGCGTGGCGCGCTCCGCATGTCGAGCACCATGACTTGTTCTACCCATGCAATATCCGTACAAGTACTGCTTTCCGTATCCTACAATCATTCTCATCTCGAGCTCGTTACACATAGTCTCTCTTCTAGCAAGGTCCATCAACTGCTGCTACTGCCCGCGCTCCCCCTTCTCTTCTTCTGCAGCTTTCGTCCGCCACTGAGACCCATACTGCTGCTCCGGCTCCTGTGTCTCGGGGTCCCGAAGTTCTGCAGGCTCACTGGCGGTGCCCTACCCCTTTGCTTATCTTCAGTCTCATCGGCCAGCATCGCAGGCTTCAACGACCCAGGCGCCAAGATCTCGAACCCTGAACCAGCACCTCGCACGACCTCTGCTCGGGACGGCTTCTCGAACGACTGTCGTGGATGTCGTGCTCCCGAATCAGCAGGGGTTTGCCCAGGTGAGTCCTCCGCACCTGCGACGGGCGGAGGCGATGTTGACATCATTTCAGCGTACGCACGGAGCGTCTCAACCGTCGGTTGAGGAGGTCGGGAACTTTCACGACTCTCGGCGCCCTTGGAGCTTGTCGGTCGGGGAAGCGCGGGAGGCGCTGTGTGCACGAACTGGGCGAAAGACGGCACACCTTCAGGCATGCTTGATCTTCGTGCTGCTGCAGGCAGCGCTTCGATGCCAGGAGATCTCGGTGCGTCACCGTGGTTCGATTGCAGCCGGGTCGGAGAGTAATTGCTGCTAGACTTCGTGGTGAAGTAGTTGTTGCCCTCCGTGCCGACATCAGTCAAAACTCCCGGCCAGTCCATAGACTTCGCTGCCCTTCTCGTGGAAGGCGTCAGCTGTCCCGTCTCAGCAGCTTGTGAAGTTCGCCTCGTGTCAAGCATGATGAAGTCTGCGGAGTGATCGCGCTTGCGTGGCGGGGCCTGCTGCTCAGCCTTTGTAAAGAGCCTCGGTGCGGCCGAGGAGATCAGTCCGCCATCACTACTGTTGCTGCTGGAATGTGTGAGGGAGTCGGGACTGCTCTCCTCCAGGCCAGAATTCCGATGCAGTGAAGTCGAAGCCCGATGTATAGCCTCGATACCCTCTAAAGCATGTGCGGTCACTGAGTTCCGGTACAGCGATGGATTGCCACTGTACTTACTCATCGACAGTGGCGGATAACGACTCGTCGCTGGCTTCTCTAACACGGGCGCCGGCATACTGAGGGCCGCCGGCATTTGATGTGGCGCAGTCAAGGTCGCGAAGGTAGGTGGCACCTCTGTTGGCGATGGCGCTATACTGGGCGATGAGTCTCGCCGATGCCAGCCACTCGATCTTCTTCGTTCTGCCGATGGCGTCCGTTCAGAGATATGGCTAATGCGATTCTGTGTCGCAATACTGCCTTTCGACCTAGGGCTCTCAGCGCTGACTCGGTTGCTAGGACCTCCCTGCCTCTCCAAGTCCACGTCTGCACTCTTGCGGGTGCTGTTAGTCCACATCGAGCCTTTGGGTGATCGATCCTTCGAAGCAGAGTTGGGAGTGTTCGGTCTTGAGATCCACACACCGTCCACCTCGACGCCGTTCTCAAGAGCCCTGATGCCGAATGGCACCTCGTCGTTCCGCGACTGACCAGGAGTCTGTTGGCGTTGCAGCATCTCTCGGTGCCGTGCCTGCTCCTGCCGTTCTCGCTCGGCAACCTTGGAGTACTTTCGAAGACGGTAGTGGTTATGAGCGAGCTTTGCGCCACCTATGCATAGCGTGACACCGATGGCGAGACCGAGAACAAAACATAGCTTCTCCCATAGCGCCCAGCCGCTCCAGAATTGATGGCCCATAATCGTGACGTGAGTCTCGTGATATCGTGATGATAGCGATGCTACTGCATTGCATGAAAAGTCTCTCCGTGATGATCGTTCGTAACGGATGCGGTAGGAGAGCTGTTATTCAACCACAAGGTAGTAGTCGCAAAGTGCGAGAAGCAGAAGCCCAGTCACAAGCGAATATGCTCCGTCAAGTTTGCTCCCGAGCAGTGAAGTCGGTGAAAGTCTTGAATGCCAGATGCAGAACATCCAATCCGTGGAAGGAGCGAGCGTGGCCGGCCACATGGGTAGCCGGAGAGATCGTCTGCAGTGCATATAACCCAACCCAGCGAGTCGGAAGCAGTGCCTGATGCCAGTGCTGCAGACACGGGCGTCGAATCTGAAAGGAAGTTGGAAGCCCTACTGTGCGTCAAAGGAGGCGAAATCGTGCAGAAAGAGAATCAAGTAAAAGACCCCTTCCACCACAGCTGCAGCTCGCACAGCAAGCGGTGAAAGAATCACAGAACTTCCAATCAATCCAGCAAGCCACACTTAACCTACCAAACCCGATCATCGAATTCTTCCCCCGACCTCACAAAGGCAAGTGAAGAATGTAGCATCCGAACCCCACTCAAACACTTTACAAGGGAATTCCGGCAAAAAGCCACGCCATTGGGCCATGCCCTCGCATAGAATATAGCAACACGCATCATCCATGCAGGTCTGCAGCACATCCCCCGGACCCAGTGTGCTGGCGCTGGCGCACACCCATGCAGCGGGCGGCGGACCTTGCTGCGTGTAACGCGGCTAGAGAAGACTGAGCTCCAGTGGACAGGGCGCAAGGCGCGCGTCGGTTCTCTGACACTGCATGGAATGGCTGCGCGTGTTACCGTCGCCTTCGCCTAACCTCCGGAAGGGGCCATGAGTCCACTGAACGGTGTACCCGATTTGTGCTACTCGGGTTATTGCGATAGTCTGAGGGATGAAGTGTGGAAGTGCGACGTTCAAACAGAGACGAGACATTGTGGCTTCTTTGGGTTG